TTTGAAATTACTTTAATCAATATATTATATTTCTTTATTTTTTTATCATCTTGTTTGTATTAGTTAATATTATATCATTAGAAATTTGTTTTAGTTATATTTTAAAATATTATAATCAATTAGTTTTTCAAGATACCTTTTTTGATCATTTTACATTCTCATCAGCTAATTTTGTCAAACATGATTTGTTTATCAACTACCAGTTAATTTATAAGTTAACAGTTAGCTTATCATCCATCATCTACCAGCAAAGTTATAAGTTAATAACTAGCTTATCATCTACCAGATAGCTTATTATCTAGTTTGCCAAACATAGCTTAAATATTATATTGTCATTATAGGTAATCAATTGTGAATTCTTAAAAAGAGATTTAACCCTTATTCGATGTTTTACTGAAAGTTTTAACCAAATCGCTCTTTCTAAATTTGAAGGTGTTACAGTAATGCCATTGAGAACTCAAAAGCAATAACTTGATATATAAATTTGTGAAAAAATACATCATTTTTAAAGTTTATGTTTAAGAGATGAAATACAACTTCGTTACATCAAAGCACAATATCCTACACCAAGATCTAATATACCATATCATTATAGACTTGGGATCATGTGAGACCAGCCTGTTTTCGTGAGACCCGTAAGACCACCTTTACTTGAAACTTCACATCAAAATGCTGTGAAGCTGACTTTTTTTTAACATTTACAGTGTTTTTGTTGTGAATGTTCGATCTTTTTTAACCTTCACAGTGTTTTTGCTGTGAAGTTTCAAGTGTAAAAATATGGTCTCACGGGTTTCACGAAAACAAGTTGGTCTCATGTGAACCCAACCCTATCATTATATGATTATATCTACAAATATCCAACTTCCTCTTATCAATCATGGGTTTCTTTTTCTCATACAATTAGATCATCGTATTAACCTTCTTTTGTAACAACCACCACTACCGTTACAACTATTGCTTTCACACCATCACCACTGTCGCCTTCACCCCCACCATTACCACCATTGTCGTCACCACGATCATCACCACCGATCCACAACCACCACCGTTATCGCCACTACCATCGACATCACTACCGCTCCCATTCCGCTACTGCTATATATTTCCCATTCCACTATTATCATTTTTATCATTTAAATATCATTTTTACACAACAAGAAGACAAGGCTATTATTTATGAATTTAAGTTTGAAGTTTAATAATGAGCCCAGAAAACGATGAATGACCTCCATTAAAGCAACACGTCTGTCCCTGTTCAGCCCTTCTTCTTCCATCAGTCGGTGCGGTGGAGTGAATAACAATAGCAAACAAGTTGCAAATACACAGAGATAACCTTCAAGATGTCGGTGATTGCATTTGAAGAGATCATCAATTCATCATCCAATCAATACAGTTTCACAGCTTTGCTGATTCATGGCTTATTGGGTTCTCGAGATAGCTTTCTAGATTTCGCTCGCTCCCTTGCTTCCTCCCTCTCCAGCTCCTCTGGTTATACTCTCTCTCTCTCTCTAAGTTTAATGTATAAAACCCCCCATATCTCATGGATTATTAGCCGGTTAACTGAAGATAAACCAAGTATTTGAACCGACCATGATTGATGATAGTCGGTTTCTCTTTTTTGAAATAGAATGAAATGGTATGCAAAACATGCATAATTCTGGTTTCCGCTGTCGTTTGTGTTTATTATTGATTCAGTTCGTTGATTGTGAATTCAATGATTTAGGATCGCGAATTCAATGGAAGAAAACCCCCCAAAATTTTGAGCAGATTTGACATGGGTTCTAAGATTCAGTACTTGTAATATTAGAATAGTAAATAGTATGAAAAAAAGTATCTATATGTGTATACACCAAATACATAAACCTTACTTGAAGCTTGAATTAATTGAATTTCTGCAGCAGATCCGTTTCTCAGTACCACTATTAAGATTCTTTGGGAACGATTTTAATTTTGTGAGCAGATTGGAGGATGGTTCTTGTGGATTTGAGGAACCATGGAAGCTCAGTTGATAGAGAAGGTTTAACCCCACCTCATGATATAGCAAATGCTGCTAGAGATGTGGCTAATCTTTTCAAATCTCTAAATGGGCCTTGGCCTGATGTTGTTATTGGGCATTCTTTGGGGGGCAAGGTGGCATTGCAATATGCTTTCAGTTGTGCTCAAGGTGATTATGGTGATTCAGCACAGTTGCCTAAACAGGTTAAGTACAGACTCTTCTTTTTCTAATTAACTTGCTTCATTACATTGCCAGAACCTATTCCTTCCTTAATTGCATGCTTTATTAAGCCGGAGGTCTTCATGGAAACAACTGCTCTATTCTTGGGGTAATACATCCAACCTCTAGACCCCACTACTACCAGATGGGATATCCTGTTGTTTGGTTTGGTTTGGTTTTATCTATTGCTTCTGTGCTGAATGATAATGTTAAATGTATAATTTTTGCCATTACCGTGCTCTTCTATCCCATGAATATTGCAATAACTACACTTATATACATACAATTGCTTGGCTGTTAGACAAATGTCTCAAGTACCATTCCATTGGAATTCAACTTGAGTGTTCAAGTTAAAGTAAATCCCGTGGACCAAGATCGGTGATATTTAGACGTGCATATTGTAATGACAACTCGTGAGGAACTTGCGCGTTTACAACCTAAAATTTTCCAAAAAATGAAATTGTTGTTAGTACTATAGAAATCTTGAATAGAAATTTTTGCAATTTCCAATGGCCGAAGATTAATTTTTTATGCTTTTTGTAGCACTACGTATTTTGTTTCAACTCTTTGTCAAGTGATGGTCGGAACTCTTTTATTGTGATCAGGGACGGATCCAGAATTTTTTCAAAGGGTGGCACCAATTGACTAAAAGAAACCAATATAAAGAAATTTTTTCACATGGTGATACCATTTAACTATAATAAACAAATAAAGGAAAAAAAATTCAAACGGTGACACCCTTTGAATAAGAAAATGACACTAACAGAATTCGAACTCGGGTCTGGGGTGGAAGAAAAGCTTTGCAAACCAACTCTAGCCAAGAAAACTTGTTCTAATTGTAGTTTCATAATACACGGTGGCACACAACAAATTAATACGGGGACAGTTTTCACGACCCTGATATTTTTTACACTACGACGGATGAACAATACGGTGGCACAAACCACCTTATGCTCTGAATTGGGTCCCCCCTGTATTTGTGATAATCTCTGTGAAATGTGTTACAACTAGTTATTATGTTGTTCCATGACCTTTGATTTCTTCCTTAGCTTTGACGCCTACAACGCTATTACACCTGTCATAAAATGATCAATCTTTAGGATTTTTTGAACAAGACTTCTTCGCAATTCTTCAAACAATATATACATAGAGAAGTTAAAGCATCAAGTTCAGTATTTGATTATGATCTATGGATGTTAGATGTCTTATATACAGTTTATATTAGTACATTCTAGCTACCATTTCTGATAAAGCTGGTTTAAAAATGGAAGTTTGTTGACTAATTTGTTAAAACTGATCTGAAACAGCTCTGGGTACTGGATACTGTCCCCGGAAAAATCGAAAACAATAGTCATTATGAAGAACTGGGGAAAGCGTTGCATACGCTGCAGACTCTACCTTCTCAAATCCCGTCAAAAGAGTAGAAACCTCCTTTCCTTCCTGGTAATTTAAACGATAACGTTATCTTTCTATTTTTAACGATTACATTTGAGGTTTCGTTTGGCCTGTTTGTGGCTTCAGGTGGCTGGTTGATCATATGGTTAATCTTGGGTTTTCAAAGTTCTTATCAGAGCATATTAGTAGCAACCTCAAGAAGTCAGGAGAACACAAGACATTTTCTTTCAATATCGAGGGTGTTATACAGATGTTCGAATCTTGCCGGTAAACCTACTATTTTTCACCTCAATCTCAATCCACATCGATTCTCTCTTCTTTACCTGTAGATATCCGATATTTTTCCTTTCAAGACGCACTTAACAATTAGGTGAGGGTCAACTCAACTGACATATAAAGGTTAGACCTTGGGACTCTTTTCCACGGTCTCCTCAAGGCCACTGGGATTTCTTTTCTTTATCTCATGGTGATATTAGTGGAGATGTGTACAAGCTGACCCGAACATCTATGGTTACAGAAGAAGAAAAGAAAAAGGAGATAGAGGGTGTTTTACATATGTTTTTCTGATGGTTTTTTTTGTTGGTATGATTTAGGGATACTGATTATTGGCCATTGCTAGAGCAGCCTCCAAAGGGAATTGAAATAGCTATAGTGCGTGCGGAAAGCCGAGTCACGTGGGACCCGGATGTGGTCGAGAGGCTTGAGAGCCTTACGAAGCGGGAAAACGATCTGTCAAGCGGCAAAGTCTCGGTTCATGTTGTTCCCCGTTCTGGACACTGGATTTACAAGGATGAACCAGAGAGACTGCTGGAGATCATGGCCCCAAGAATGGCTTCCCTGGTTCAACCGGATATCTAAGCTGTAGCTGTTTTTAGTGGTTGAAAAATGCAGGGTGGATAGTTCACTTTGCACTTTCACTGTCTTGTGATTGATTATACAATGCTCATTATATAAGTTTAGAAGAACAATTGCAACAAATTTATATAATATTAACAAAATTACTAGTTATAAACAAACATGTCAGAACCTTTGAAATTTGTTGTATTGAAAATTTAAATTATTATTTTGATACAGTATTTTTTTCTATAATTATATTTAAATATTTGTCAAGTAATTCGAATTTCTCATATCTTTTGAAAACTAGTATGCTTTTACATTTCCTCGTTGTTTAGAATTGCTTATTTAAAACAACTTATGTTTTTTTATAAAAGTCTTTATTAACTTATTATAAGTTAGAATGATTTAACTTCTTCAAAAACTTCTTGTTATCGGTTCGGCACCGATATTAAATATTTATTCAAATACTCAAAAGTGCTTATCATCGGTGCTACCTCGGAATAAGTCAATAGATTGTTTTTATAAGCGATTCTAAACACCCTCTTAAAAACGATATATACATAATGCTTTAATACATGCATCATGTATAAATCGTGCTTATAACACGGTTTTTAAATATCATATTTTTATATAACAAGAAGATAAGGCTATTAATTATGAATTAATTCTGAGCCCAGAAATGTTGAATGACCTCCATTAAAGCAACACCTCCACTCCTCCTCCTTCTTCTTATTCTTCTTCTTCTTCTGTTCGTCGGTGCGGTGGAGTGGACTGTGGATAACAAGAACAAACAAGTGGCAAATACAGAGTGATAACCTTACCTTCTCCTTCAACATGTCAGTGATTGCGTTTGAAGAGATGATCAATTCATCATCCAATCAATACAGTTTCACGGCTTTGCTAATTCATGGCTTATTGGGTTCTCGAGATAATTTGCTAGATTTCGCTCGCTCCCTTGCTTCCTCCCTCTCCACTTCCTCTGGTTCTACTATCTCTCTATCTCTTTAACTTTAATGTAGAAAACCTCCCATGTCTCTTGGATTATTAGCTGGATTATTGAAATTTTAGGATAAATCAACTACTTGGAAGTTGGAAACAGTCGGTTTCTCTTTTTTGAAATGTGAATTCAATGATTTACGGACCAATTTAGTTGTTAACTTGTTCTACTGCTAAATAGATCATCTGTTAATGGAAGAAAACCCCCCAAAAATTGAGCAGATTTGGCAGGGATAGTAAACAGTAGGAAAAAGTGTCTATATAACATGTACTTCAAGCCATACACATGACCAAATACATAAACCTTGCTTGAAATTTCAATTAACAGAATGTCTCCTCCAGATTTATTAGAACTAAAAAGAATTCCATTTTAAGCATCTAATTTTGCCTACCTATCTTCTTCAAAAGAATCAGACCATTGTATCAAATTTGAATTTGAGGCAATGGATACTTTTGGATACCATTATTAAGATCCCTTGGGAACATTTTTAATATGTGAGCAGATTGGAGGATGGTTCTTGTGGATTTGAGGAACCATGGAAACTCAGTTGATAGAGAAGGTTTAGCCCCACCTCATGATATAGCAAATGCTGCTAGAGATGTGGCCAATCTTTTTAAATCTCTTAATAGGGCTTGGCCTGATGTTGTTATTGGGCATTCTTTGGGGGGCAAGGTGGCATTGCAATATGCTTTAAGTTGTGCTCAAGGTGATTATGGTGATTCAGCACATTTGCCTAAACAGGTTAAATACACACTCAGTTCAGTATTTGATTATGATCTATGGATGCTAGATGTCTTATATACGGTTTATATTAGTACACTTCCAATTAAGCTGGTTTAAAAATCGACTAATTTGTTAAAACTGATTTGAAACAGCTCTGGGTACTGGATATTATCCCCGGAAGAATGGAAAACAAAAGTCTGAATGAAGAACTGGTGAAAGCGTTGCATACGCTGCAGACTCTACCTTCTCAAATCCCATCACGAGAGTAGAAACATCCTTTCCCTTCGTGGCAATTCAATGAGACCATTGTCTTTTCATTTTCTTCATTTGGTGTGCATACAGGACCGGACATGACATGACTGGATGAGCCAGAGTGATGTAGGGGATGAAAGATTCGTGCAAGGTTTTAGGGTTTTAATTTAATTTACCATTATTGTCCCACCTCCTTGATAAATAGGTGGAACCAAAAAATGCATTTTTGTCTCACTATGTCTAGTCATGTCCTGGTCTGGTCTAAATGTTCGACCAAATACAGGACAACAAGTTTTTGTTTTGTCATGACCTGTCCTGTGTACCAAACTCATAAACATGATGTTTGAGGTTTCTTTTGGCCTGTTTGTGGCTTCAGGTGGCTGGTAGATCATATGGTTAATCTTGGGTTTTCAAAGTTCTTATCAGAGTATGTTAGTAGCAACCTCAAGAAGTCAGGAGAACACGAGACATTTTCTTTCAGTATCGAGGGTGTTATACAGATGTTCAAATCTGTCCGGTAAACCTACTATTTTTCACCTCAACCCACATCGATTCTCTCTTCTTTACCTGTAGATATCCGATATTTTCCGTTTTAAGATGCACTTAACAACTAGATGAGGGCCAACACAACCGACAAATAAAGGTTAGACCTTGGGACTCTTTTCCATGGTCTCCTCAAGCCCATTGGGATTTTCTTTTCTTTATCTCATGGTGATATTAGTGGAGATGCGTACAAGCTGAGCCGAACACCCACGATTATAAAAAAGAAAGAAAAACTAGATGAGGGTTTTTCACATATGTTTTTCACATATGTTTTTCTGATGGTTTTTATTTTTTTGTATGATTTAGGGATACTGATTATTGGCCGTTGCTAGAGCAGCCTCCAAAGGGAATTGAAATAGCTATAGTGCGTACCGAAAGCCGACTCACGTGGGATCCGGATGTGGTCGAGAGGCTTGAGAGGCTTACGAAGAGGGAAAACGATCTGTCAAGCGGCAAAGTCTCGGTTCATGTTGTTCCCCGTTCCGGACACTGGATTTACAAGGATGAACCACAGAGACTGTTGGAGATCATGGCCCCAAGAATGGCTTCCCTGGTTCAACCGGATATCTAACATGTAGCTGTTTTTAGAGGTTGAATATGCAGGATGGATAGATCACTTTGCACTTTCTTGAATGGAACAACAATCTTATGCTGTCTTGTGATTATACATGTATCTATGCTACATTATAAAGCATATAAATCATTTGAGAAAAAAATTCTTAATTTTTTTTTTTATGTATGAAGTACTGTTTATTAATACATATTATTTAAAATTCAAGATTATAAATAAACTATATAATCCCATTCAATTATGGATTCATTACCTTAATTAATCCTCTTAATTAAACTTAATAATTATCAATCTTCTCTCTCTCTATATATATATATATATGCAGTTGAAACTGATTTACAAGCAGCAGGAGCCAACCATAGATTGGAGGTAAACATTCATGCCAAAAACAAACAGTATATATATATATATATATATATATATTCATGCCAAAAACAAACAGTATATACATATATATATATATATAGGGGCTTAATCAAATGAAAACTAATTAGTTTGTGGTAACTGTAAGAACCAATCTCAACCACAAATCAATAGATAAATTAGGAAATTTTTAATTTTGGTAATTTTTAATTAAAATTTTAATGCAAGGGTATTTTAGGTATTTTCTCTCCTCTCTCCTATCTCCTCTCTTCTCTCTCCGTCCCCCGGCATCCGACCACCATCCTCCAGCCACCGTCCTCCGGTGATACCACAGTGGTATCACAATGCATCATATATGTGATTGGGTATCACAATGTGGTCATTTGTGCGGTCGATCGGATATGTAACACAGTGGTATCACAATGCATCTTATATGTGCTTGAGTATCACACTCTGGTATCACCGGAGGCTGGTGGCCGGAGGCCGGAGGACGGTGGCCGAAAGACGGGGACGGAGAGAGAAGAGAGGAGAGATGAGAGAAAATACCTAAAATGTCCTTGCATTAAAATTTTAATTAAAAATTACCAAAATTATAAATTTCCTAATTTATCTATTGATTTGTGGCTGAGATTGGTTCTCACAGTTACCACAAACAACTCAGTTCTCCCTTGAATAGGCCCCTCTATATATATATAGGGGCAGGTTCAAATGCGAACCGTCCAATTCTTAAAAACCGTGTGAACCAAATTCGACCAATCAGAAAATTCAATTTGTTTTCAATTAAATTTAAATAATAAGAGTGTTTATGTCATTTTGTACATTTATGTAATAATTATGGAAGTTATTCATTCCTATTA